GTGCTTATATTCTCCAAGACGCTGAAGGAAAGAGAGTTCCTAGAGTCTGGAATGTCAATAACTTGAAGAAATTTTACCCCTAATAAAAATTCTTTCAAGTGTTTTAAGTCTTACTGTTCTTTACGTTTCTCACTTCGTGTTTATTGAGAGTCATTTTACCTCTTATTCTATGTATCTGAAGTCAATCAGTTCATTCGCTTCTGTTAATAAATGTCACTTCACATTTGAAGTGCTTCATTTCCTTCTAATTTCTTCGCACTAATGTACTTGTTCCTAACTCATAAAAAGTGCCTTACTTCTTCTTTCATCTGAAGTAAATTACTTCTTCTTAAGTGGCTTAATTCTTCTTAACACGTCTGAAGTGAATTACTTCTTCTTATTTTGTCTCAAATACTCAGTTCTTTCATTCATAAAACATAACAAAAATATAAACCAAACATAAACACAAACATAATTTCATTTAATGCAATAAAAGTATTACAAACTATTTCAATGTTTTACAAAAAAGTAAAAGCAACAAAACGAAGTTAATTCTCTGCTGAGGGAGGTGGCTCCACTAGCTCCTCTTCAGCTGGAAGAGGTGGCTGCCTTGGCTGCTGCTCGTCTGGCAGAAGAGGCTGATCATCATCAGAAGGAACTGGATGAATCTCCACTTCTGGAATTGGTTGGCTCTCATCCACTCCAGCTCCTCCCATTCCTGCCTCCACCTCATCTTCCTCTACCTCTGCCCCTTCTCCTTCCACTGCCACGAACTCGAAGTCGAAGTTCGAAGGGAAAACAGTGCGTCCATCAGCATCATGATCCCACTTCAGTTTGATTTCTGGGCGGAACTCTGTTGACATACTTTCACCATCTTCCTCCACTCCAGCTTCTTGCTCTCCAAAGGTTATCCTTGTTACATCCACTTCGGGATAAACAGTCTTGACCTTCTTTCTGCAGTCCGTGAAGGCAATGATGGCAGTTGGCAATCGGTAGAGGTTGACGATGTTGTCAAACGAGCTAGAGCTGATGAAGTTGCTGATGTGCTCCTTCATCCCATTGTGCACCAGGGTCTGCACATTCCCCTTCAGCTCCAAAAAAGCCTCCTTTGTCAGCTTTAACTCTTGCGCCAGAGCCTCATGCTCGTTTTCAGAGATCTTTCGCTTGGTTTCTTCAAAGCCGAGCTTGGTGCTCAGGGACGCCCTCTCCTGTTCCAACTGCTTCATAGCTGGAACCACCTCATTCAGAGACTCTCGCATCTCTTTATTCTTCTTCTCCAGCTTTTCCTTCTCCTTCTGCAGCTGGTCACACTGCCTCTGCAAGAGTGCGCGCGCCTTTACACCCTCCCTGAACTCCTGGGCTAGACCATTCACCCAGCTCGCGCTCTACAAATCAAAGCAGAAGTTCTAAGATCCAGAAGAGAAGAAACACAATAAGTAAACAACAACATTAATTTAACATACCTCAAGGACGTGCTTCACCACAGAAGCTCCCCCGTATCTCAGAGCCTCCTCTCGCGCGTGGCGTTTGTCCACTTCGGGGAAGGTGTTGTTGATAAACCACCTAGCCCCCATCACGTTCTTCGCCTCGAACAGGCTGCTCTGAGACACCGCCGAAGTAACAGGTCCCTTCCCCTTACCAGGAGCCCGTACCTCAGCCCCCTCCTCCAACTGTCTGAGCTCGGGGTCCAGCTCAACAGGAAGAGGCTGAGGTACGAACTCAGGCACCTCTTCCCCCTGCACCTCCTCCACCACCTTCTTCTTCTTCTCCAATGCCCTCCTCTCTTCCCAACCTTTTCTCTTCAGCGGTGGCACCTCCTCCCCCGTCTCAACTGAAGCAGTAGCCACCACCTCCTTCCCAATTATCCCCTCATCCACTTGTTTGGTCGAAGTCCTTGACTTCTTCCTTGGCTTCTTAGGGATAGCCTTTCCTCCAGCTGTGCCCAGAAATTGGTTCATGTCAGCTGCAAAGCAAAAAACAAAATATTAGTCACAATTCTAAATTCTACATTTAACACTACAGTCTATGTTAAACAAACCTTCACTCAGAGCGCTGGGCCCATAGAGCTCAGCAGCCTCTATGCATGCTGCGTTGGTGAGGTCCATGATGTTCAACACATCCCCCCTCTTCCTCACCAATCTCCCCACTTCTTCCTCCTCATCCCTATTTAAACTAAACCTATTCTGGTTAGCCCTTTTGGCCTTCCAGGAAGCTAACGCCCTCACCTCGGCATCCCCCTTTCCCCACTTAGTATCATCTACAAAAAAGAATTTTTCCTTCCTTCCATCCCTTAATGGATGAAGGACCTGCTGTGAATAAAATTCTACCCTCCTTATTAGCTACCCTCGGGGTGAAGTAATACCACCCCTTGTCTCTCCTGCTACCCCC